ATTAATCTGTGTCAAGATGCACAGATGCACCGACTGATGTAATTAGGAGAGAATACCACAATTTTTTATATTTTTCAAAATAAAACATCACTCAGACTCTGATCATTGATAAATTATATATATATATATATATATATATATATATATATATATATATATATATATATATATATATATATATATATATATATATATATATATATATATATATATATACTTTTTTCTGTGCGGCCCGGTACCGAATGACCGACGGACCGGTACCGGTTGGTACCGGTCGCTCTAGAACAACTGGGGACCGCTGCTCTAGAAGACACACCAAGATTTTGTCAGCAATGAAGACACTTTATGTACTTTTATAACTAGGCTTTAAAACAGCCATTTTTCATAGAATTTAGTGTTATTAGGGGGTTGGGTATTGTGAGGTATTTCTAGGGTTTTGCTGCTTTACACTCAGACTATTGGAGAAGTTTCTCCTATTGCTCTTTATGGATGTACAACTGTTTATATGTAATTAATATGAACAATAACTTCACTTCTTCAAGGTTTTGTATGTTTACCTCAAAAAAGGTATAGTTGTTTGAATTTTTGCCAATAATTACATTAGTATCCCTTAATTAATTTCCCATTGAAAATTACATTGCCCCAATAGCTTTAAATCTGACTGTGTTTCTTTCCAAAATAAATCTATTGAACGAGCTGCGGTGTCCCCTGCAATGAAGTCTTAAGAATAAAAAACCAACAACAAACAAAAAAAGTTATTTTTATATGCGCTGGAACAGACATAGTGACTGATAGCTACCTAAGACCCAGTCATTTTTTTCTTTACAGTTTTGTTTTAATTATGATATAAAAATTTATCCTCGTGAGACCATCCTGATCTCGCGAGCTTTCAAGGTTTCACTCGCTAATCAGTCTGGAGACTCTCCGTTACAGAAAATTTGGAGCCGTTCGCCAAACGAACATCCAATCAGCGTTGGCTTTGAGGCAGGTTGAGGTGTGACGCAACGAGCGCGACAGTTCAGTCTAAAGAACATGGCGGCTTCAGCCGATTAAACTATCGTTAGCGTAGCTATCGAGCAAATTTTATAGGAATTGCAGAGTATTTCTTCACTGAAAGAACAGCAAAACACTGCTCTGGAGGCTTTTCTCAGAGGAAAAGATGTTTTTGCTCTTCTCCCGACTGGTTTCGGCAAGAGTTTGATCTATTGATTGGCTCCTCTTCGTCGTCGCTCTGTTAGTACGTCATATGCTTCGTTGATCTGATTGGTTTATTTGGCCCGTCTATCACCAACATAGGCAAATCAGCTAACCAGTATTTTCGCCCCTTCCCAAAATTACTTCTACGGAAGGTTTCCAGATGGATATGCGGAGCAAATCCATCTGGCGGAGTCAGGTTAATAAAAATTAGGGTGGTAGCTTCAATCATATTGAGATGTAAACATAGTTTTTATTCATTTCCATTCATTCCATTGAAAATTCCATTACCTTAATAGCTGTGTATTTGACTTAGTCTCTTTTGCTGGAGGTTTCTTCCTGTTAAATGGGAGTTTTTCCTCTCCACTATCGCTGCAAGCATGCTTAGTGTGGGATTGGATTCAAGTCAATTTAATCAATTCAATCAACTGGTTTTGCTTAGATAGAAAACTTTGAACTAATTTGACTGTATTATCCGGTGAACTGTAAAGTGCCTTAAGATGACATGTGTTGTGAATTGGCACTATAGAAATAACCTGAATTGAATTGAATTTTCTAAATACATTTTTCGAAAGAGCTGCTATTGCTTTGAACTATGTTGTTTTTTCTACCCATTTTTTCCTTGGCAGGGAGTCGTTCCTTTCCACTATTGCCAAACACCTGCTCAGTATGAGGGATTGCTGCAAAGGTTACATTTGTTTGGGCTTGCTTACATAATCTGCTTTTAACCAGCTATGTTATAAACAAACGTTAAAGGAATAGTACACCCAAAACATGATTAGCCTTCATTTTCTACTCACCTCCATGCTGAACAACACTCTGGAGTACTTTTTTGATATCTCAAATGCATCTGGAGATCTGGGAAACATTCTAAATGACTTCGTTTCGAGTAAATTCTGGATGCTACCCACTCAGGACACTTGGATTACATTGGACGAGCAGTATGGAGGAATATTGACAAGTTTTTGTGGACTTTTGTGGACCTTTCTGTCTCGGGCGCCATAGACCTCCATTATTTGAATGTCAGCAGACAGCAAGAAGTCTCCCAGATCTCCAGATGCATTTGAGATATCAAAAAAGTACTCCAGAGTGTTGTTCAGCATGGAGGTGAGTAGAAAATGAAGGCTAATCATGTTTTGGGTGTACTATTCCTTTAACTGTCTTCTATTACAGTAAAAAATAAACTGCACCACATAAAATCTGCCTATATGGTTGGATTCGGTTATTTTACATTTAGATAGTTGCTATTTCTTTAGAATACAAAATCAGCTAGACCTGCTTTTTAAAGTTTCTTTAGATTCAGAATTGTTGTGAAATAGTTCTATATAAATTAACTGAATGAAATGAATTTTCACTGATCTGGGGGTAGAAAGCAGTGAATTACCAACAATCTTCCAGTAGGAAACATGCAGAGAAAAGAATGTGTATAGAGATATCCATAAAAAGCAACAACTATGTACTAAAGTCAGGCTATTGGAAATCTCATTCCCTCATGCTACTGAAATATATTAAATGTTTCTATTTAAATATCCTTTATTCTTTGCATCTGCCATGGATTTATTTTCTACCTAAACTGTTTTATATGAATCCTATTAGGCACATGATTCAGTTTTAAGGTGAAAGTCTGTAGGAAAACATGATGTATAGTGTCTCTGTCAGACTGTGAACTTTGTCACTCCAGCATGGATAAATGCTACGTGTCATCTCTGACTCAGCATGGTGATTTATCCCCTTTCTTCCTCCAGTTCTGCTGCAGCTCAGAGATTTGGAGAAACACAGAAGCAGGAAAGACTTGTTTAAGATCTGACTCTGAGCTATATTTTGCATAAACCTCAGCCTCAGTCAACATTTTGTGGCCTTAGCATGGAAACAGTTAGAGTAGTTATTTACAAAGTATCAAAGCTGGCTTTAATGATTTAGTAAACAACTTAGTAAATGAGTCTGTTTGTGTGTGTAAACAGAAATTAGGACAGTTTCTACACAGAAATTCCTCTCTGTGTAGAAACTGTCTGAGGCAACATCTGAAGTCATTTAAAAGAACATAATCTGTATTCATTATTTAGCTTAACATATTTTTTTTATTTTCCTTAATTTTTTTCTTCCTAATATTATTGGTTTCTTTTATCTGTCAGTCACCTACAGTTTCAAAAATTTCAAAAGATACGTTTCAGATCATTTATTACTGAAGTTCCTTTTTAAGTTTTGGGATTTTCTGTTATAGTTTAGAGTGGAGGTCTTCAACAGGGGGTCCACAGAGGTACTGCATGGGGGTCGCAAAAGTTTTGGTTGATCAGACTTTTTTTTTTTTTATATATTCCCCCCCTGAAATTTTTTCCACTAATTGAAATGTTGTTTAATTACACATTGACATGAATTCAACACACTGTAGTAAACAGATAAATGGAGCAGAAGATGTCTTTCAGTCATCAATGCACACATTCAGTGACACACAGGAGCTCTTTCAAGCTGGGCACCGTTTCATTCACAACACCTGTCCCATCAACCAGGAATCAGAATTAGAAATACTTTAATAATCCCAGGGCGACATTAATTTCATTACATTACTCCATCTGTAATAGAGTGACTATAGGACCAGTTTGATAGAACCCAATTTTATATGATATGATTAGGGGGTCCCCACTCCATCTCGCTATCAGTTTGGGGGTCCTTGACCGGGAAAACGTTGAAGACCCCTGATTTAGAGCTTATGTGAATATTCTTCAGAGTTTCCTAAATTATATCTTTTCTTATGATAAAACAGACTTTTTTATATGCAAAATGCATAAAAATATCAGGAAAAACCCCAAAAATAAAACTTTTAGGTATGAATGACATGTTCTGTAAAACATTCAGAAAGCAGATGTAGAGGACAAAAACGAGACTGTTGTTGTCTTTTGATCCTCTATGGAAATTACCCCAAAGCATTAAAGAGATAATGATCAGATATAAAAGATAAAAAACTGATTTTTTGGGGGAAAAAATATTTGGTTGGAAAGGAAATCTAAAATTACATTTTTAAAGTCGTAGGTAAGCGGCTGTTCCAACCCTTGCATTTTAGACAAGTGAACAAAGTGAATGTGATTGGTCGTTTATCAAGGGGACGGGATCGTTTTGGAGGAAGGTTTGCAAGCAAATTGGGTTGTGGCCAGTTTGTCGGAAGCATCTTGCTTACCAGTTAGCAACTTAGTGCTAGTTGGTTCCCCATGGGAAATTACATTGGGACCAAGTAGCATTAACTTGGTGACTTAGAAATGCTATGGACAGCGGAAACATGCAAGAGGAGAAAAGTTTTGTGTCTGAGGTCATGGATGAGTCTCCTCCGTCATACATTTGTTATTTAGGCCCCGTCCACACGAAGACGAACGCTGGCCTAAACGCACAAATTTTTCAGCAAACCAGCCTCTCATCCACACAAAGCCAGCGTTTCGGGGGTCTGTAAACGATATTTTTCTTATTCAGCCTTCAGAGTGGGAAGATTTCGAAACGCCGTTTTCGCGTTTCCATCTTTACGCTCTAACCGCATATTTTTTTTTACAAGCATTTGTCATAGCGTCGCCTCTAAACACGCATGCGCGACCAGTATCACAACAACAATGGCGCCGTACTGTGTTGAATGGTTGCTGCTCATGCTACTCACCCTGCTGTCGGGCTTACAACAGAATCTTCTTCTTCTGGAATATCTCCAGGAAGAACAGAGCAATATCGACGACATAGTTCAGCACCTGAATTTGACTTAACCTCGAAAATGGACCCGCAGGGCAACCATGTATAAATATTAGTGCGCATGCCCAACATTTCGTCGCTTATTTTTGCTTTGGCACCACAGCGCCACTTACAGGCCTGGCATACATTTTGCAGCGTTTTCATGCATTCGTGTGGACGCTCACATTTATTTTACGTCTCCGTCTTTACGACAAACGTTTTGGAAAATATCAGTGTTTCGTGTTCGTTTTGACTTCGTGTGGACGGGCTTTTAGAGGAGGAAAGCGGGGACGAAGGTGTTGTGGAAGAGGACGCCAGAACGGCAGAAGCTTCATTTGGTGTAGAAGGCTTACAGCCGTACATGTTTGAGCCCTTGCTTCGCAACGCTGCCAGTTCTGATAACTCTATGGATGCCGAAGACACAGACGTCCATCCCCGTGAACACTGGGAGAGAACTCAGTGGTAAAGTTAATGATTCTTATTTCTTATTTCAACCATTGCTTATATTAGCTACAACATATGAATCAAGATGACCGAAAAAGTTTGATTGACAGATGACCGTTGACATATGATTGGTCGAATTTAGGTGTTCAAGCTGACGTATAACTAACTGGCCTGCATAAAATAATGAAAAAAATGGCAGATTTTAAGACAGGATTTTTTTTTTTATAGAAATTTTCTAAGTTTTGCGACAATATCTTTTGATAAAGAGTACATTTATATACATGTTTAAGCCGGAATGATTTGAAATTTAAATATTATTTCCCTACGACTTTAAGACATATTATCCAGCCCTATTAGAGGTTATAGTAAAAAAAAAATCTTTTTTATTTAATTTAGGCCAATTAAATAGTCTTAATATCAACTAATATCTCACATGCCTCATATAAATAAAGCTGGGATTTATTCATCTTCCTATAACTTCTGTGCAAAGGCAGGAACGTCCACATAAGGAAATTATGTGATCAAGTCCCATTATGGTTTAGTCACTTTGTTAATGATGATTATTTCATATCGATTTCACATATCAGGTTATCACAATTTAAATTATGATTCAGTGGACATTAAAATTGACTAAACAAAAATGAACTTAGTACTGTAAGCTTTCTCTAACACGGCATTCCCCTTTAAGAGGGGCGTGTCCTGTTGCCATGGTGAAGCGTTGGTTCCGGAACAGACAGAAGAAGCTGCAGCGCGGCAGCTTCTGCTGAAATTTACAAACACAGGCTGATGCGGTAAAAACATAAAGTGTCACATTCATTTAAGTAATTAGATTGTGTTTTAAATTTGTGTCTCTTTCATCTTGAAATCTAGCACCAATCATGCCAGAAGACAGGAACAACAATAGAAAAAAGAAGAAAAAGAAGAACAAGGTTTCTGCTACTGACCAAAAACTAAAAGGTAAATATTGTAATATTTTATTTTATCTTTAGAGGCAAGAAAGTATTAAACATATATGCGTAATATCCCACTTTAAAATCTTTTGAAATAACTGAATACCTTTTCTGCTAAAGTAAACTTATTACACTATCGAAAATTAGGAAAATTATTTAATTAATTAAAATGTAAACAACCTGTCAAAAAATTGTTGAATTGGTTTTATTTGAAATTGTTAATCAACTACTAGTTCTTGCTAGGATTTCTAACATACTGAATATGCATCAAATAAACTTCATTTCCCACCTGAATTTTACACAGTATAACACAGGAAAGCTTCAAATCTTCCATTAACATCTTAACTTTCAGATATTTGTGATTTTTAGCCCCATGAACACAGACAATCTTCCACATCCCTTAAGGAGCGTCCGTCCACACAGCATGATGCTCCCACCGTCTCCATTTCACATTTATTTGTTTGGAGTGATGTGTGGTATTGGTGTCCTCTTACTCCTATTGCATATACAGTAAAGAACTTAAGTTCTTGTTTTTTTTTCATGGGAAATAACCTGGTTTAAAAAAAAAATCTGTTTTTTTTTTTTTGTTAGTTTGTTGTTCTTTCTACATCTGCTTTATTCTTGTCACTCTTCCATAGCTTCACTAGAATAATCATGAGTGCATCATGGTCTGGTGCTTGTGCAGTTGTGCTGTTCCCTTTCTATTATTTTATTTATTTATTTGTTTTTATTGTGAGGCATAGAAGAATGCTCCAAGGAAAAAATCAAAGCCTTATTATATCTTAATCTTTCCCATGATTCCATCCCTAACCTGTCTGCTGTGTATTCTGGCCATTGTCATACCTTTAATATATTAATATTCTCAAGCAAACCTCTTATGATCATATATAGGACACTACATTTTGTCGTTTTTGAGTATAGAGTAAAGATATTTTTGCAAAGCACTGTTAGGATGGTTAGATAAAAAGAAAAGACCTGAGATAAAATGTGGACAAGATGGAATAGAAAGTATGTGTTGCTATGGAGGAATCGAGTTCAACAGATTATATGTTTATTTTGCCTGCCTGCAGAGAAACCTGAGAGATTATCTTCAATACCCCAGCTGCCCCCTCAGGATTCAGGTCAGGTTCAACTTCCTGATCTCAGAGCTGCCAGTAAAAAAGCCAGAGATCATTGCCCTTGCGGTGCAGTGAGCAACGAAGAACAACTAAAAGATTCAAAAAGTCTTGTTGCAGAGACTTCTACAGCCAGTGACAGCAAAGAACCTGCACATGTGATGGAACTCAGCGTCCAGGCCAGGGAGAGTCTGAGGTGGGAAGGAGAGCTGCAGGACCCGCAGGAAGAGGCGAAGAGGCTGGAGCGGTATAGAGCCAGCAGGCGACAGCGTTACATCACACATAGAGAGGCATTGTTGAAAGAAACCCAGCAGAACGGAAGACTTCAGCAAACTAATAAAAAACAAAAAATGTTGGTGCTGTAGTTAAGTAGTAAATTACGGCTTTGCAATGTTTATCATTTTAGGAATCACTGGACCACAAATTAACACTGACTTTACAAACAAGCTGTATTTTTTTTGCCATGCATTGAAAAGAACCTCTGGAGCTCTTTCTTCTGAATCGGTATATCCGAATCAGAAGATTTCCACAGTCCTGCTCATGCTCTTAAACAATTCAACGCTTGAAGGAAATAATTAAATGCAAGACAACAGCCAATGATTAAGTGAGCCCCTTAAATCTGACCAAATGGTTGTTACACTTTCCAAACTAAAGAAATAGTTTCACACAGAAAAATTAGTTCAAATGCTAAAATTATCATTTGGATGAGATAAAGTAAAGTCCCGAGTTTATTTTTCTGTGTCCCTTTGCATCGTTTCTACTATAAAGGAGAAAAAGCAATGATCTAGATCTTCTGAAAAATGTTTCACTTTCTAAAATAGCTTTTAGTTTCACCGGTGCTTTAATAGTTGTGATGTCTTTACTAGAGTTGGTGGTGGAGTGTTTTTACCTTAGGGCTTGGCTAAAAATATACTATCTGGGAAAAAACAATAGCCTACAAGAAGTTGATTGAATTGGAAATCAGTACTAAAGCGACTTCTTAGCGAATAATTTCTAAAGCGAATAATTTAGGTGGGCAAATATTATAGTTATATATTTTCAATTTATTTTTTTTGGAAAAGTGCAGAGAGACAAATGTTCACAATAAAAAGTTATTTTTTGATTTTGATAGCAGCCATATGTCGGGGCAGGCCTTAATGAGGGACTGTAAAGGAAATGGCAAACATTTAGCAGAAGGCACCCTGATCAGCTGTGACTAAAGCAGTTTTTTTGTTTACATGGTGGACCAATAAACAATACACATCTCTAACACATCGTGTCCAAGGTGAAACTAAGCGGTGGACCAAAAAAAACTGAGACTAGGCTGGATATGAACCTTCTTAGAGGACAATGCCTCTAAATTTAGCTATAATGTACTGGTCTGGGTTAAAGCATATTATATTTGAATGGTCTAGTCAAAGTCCAGAACTGTATCGATTTAAGAATTTGTGGCAGGAGTAGAAAACTGACACCACCAGCTTGTTTATGTCCAATCATATGTGTCAGAAATGGTGGAACAATACCCTAGGCGGACACCAGGTGGCAGAATAGATACGTTCTCCTTGATCCAATCAAACAGCAGGACACCACCTGATAGTTTTCACGTGATAAACATAAAGAAAATCAGCTTGAGTCCAGAAAACACTGGTTGTTTTTCAATGATGACAGAAAAAAATTTGGATTCATGACAAATCAGCACAGACACCTTTATTATCAAAGTTAAATAAGCTTTTATTTTTGCTCAGGGAGAACATCTATTTTTTTTAATGCTGGATTGGATTGTATGGTCTCTTATGATAATTATTTTGTCTTAACAGGTTGAATGACTTGCTCCATTGGCTAATCATTTATTTGTTTTTAATTTTTTTATTTTATTTATCTTTATCATGGCTATTGTCAACAATTTGCATACCATTAACGTAAATCATACTTTTTATAACTTTGATCTAAAATACAGAAGATGAAAATAAAACTACTTATTGTCTTTTTTATGTTAAAATGTATATTTGTGTCCCTGAAACTATATAACTAGCTATAATCTGTATGAAATAAATAAGCAAATAGATAAAGATAACAGTTATGTTTGTCAGGTAAAGACAGATTATCTAATAAATGGAAGTAAAACACATTTATGGTGAAGTTTTTGTAACACAGCGCCTTTGTTTTTAGGTTCCTGCAGGCCATGCCTCACCCCCCCAACGGTGATGTTTTGTTACTGTTGCCTATTTCAGCATCTTTGTTTCAAAGAGCTGACCACCTACCCTCTGTTCTGCTAATCCCCTCCGTCCAAAGCCCGCTCTGCTACTTATTGACCCATGCACGACACATCTGCCATCAAGTCCACGGATATTTTACCAGCAATTCCCTCCAAAGGCTGCATTTTTAGATGGAAAACATACCCAGGGCAAAGTTTACACCATGACACAAGACTCTAAAACTACACTATTCAGACACTCCCATGTAGATAAAATTTATTAGGTTAAAAAACAGATAAATACGAGGACTAACAAAGTCCCAAAGCTGCATCTGTTTGAGGTATCAGTTGTGTTGGACTCCCTGATGGAAGACAGCATTGTGAAAAGTTGACTAGTTCCAAAACACAGAACTATGAACTATTTTTGTTTCCAGACAGCTTGTCCTTCATTGGAACCCTGCAGCAGACAGAAGATGTTGTGGCTGCTTGTTCATGGATGATTTGATGCAGATCAGGTAACCTGAAGCCAGCTGGGATCATCCGATCTGTCAAACACAGTAAAGAAAAAAACTGTTGATTTGTAGCTTCCGTATTTAAAACTTTTGCTCCCTTTGAAGAAGGGAAAGCAAGAAACAAACAAACATAGAAAGAAATTAATGATTTGAACATTTTTCATACTGAGCCTCTTTCTTGGTGATGACTTTCCCTGATAGGAGCCTCTCAGCCACAGCGGACACCACAGGATCATAATTCAGCCCCACTGCTGCTATGACCTCATCATTCCTTTAAGTAACAAAAAAAAAGAGAAAACATTTTTATAGAGCTAAAAGTTTCTCTTGTTTGATTAGCAGATTTAATCCCCTTAACTTACTTGATGTACAAGGCCAGGAACTTCCTCTCCTCAAACTCATGGTTTCCTTTCAAAATTATCTCAGTGTATCCTTCCCCATAACCTGAAAAAGACCACAGCTTGTTCAATTTGAACAATTTACAGTGAAAAACAATCTCAGATTTATCATTTATTTACATGCATATAAAAGAAATCTACTGAAATGTATGAACGGGAATCTGTAATGGATTTTATTCATCTTCATCTACATAGTTTTGTTGTGTTATGAACAGCTTTTGGATAATATGCGTCTATGAACGCCTCTAAGATTACACAATAACAAACTGTTGATGAGTCTGTTTGCCTACCTGCATATCTGATGGTTCTACCCAGTAGGACGGTCCAGTAATAAGGAACTGAGGTGAGTTCAGTTGTTTTCTTCAGCATGTTCAGAGCAGCTATCCTCCCTAAGGCAGCAACAGAGGAAATAAGAAACACATATTCAACATGAAGCAACAATAGCAGAAGGTGCAGCTATTGTTGGAAAGACAAAAACAAGTAAATCTGAAACAAGAGGCCACTTTATTAGATAAGTCTGCCTGTTTATGTAGCGAATCACTGACCTGCAGCTCAACACATGATGACGACCTGAAGTTCAAACCAAGCTTAAAAAAACTGAGGAAAATACATTTAAGGGATGTTGAATATAGTAGAAAGTAAACGAAAGTTGGATTAATACCTACATTAAAACAGATGAACTTTATTCACTAATAAGATGATCTCTGAAGGCAATTAGTTGGGCTGTATTTGTTCAAGGGATTCACAATAAAGTGGATTAAACACAAATGCTGCATACAGTTTTACAATTTTTAGGAGTAAAACAAACAACAAAAACAATATTTTCACTCTCTCTCGGTATATGCCATATAATCCCACTAGATTAGACTAAAGGCTGTGTTGTTATTGTTCCTGTTTGGCAGTGACACCACCCTGAAGAGAAACACATGATAAAGTTGTGACAATTTTATTTTTTCTTCCCTTTTTAGTCTCATCCATCTCCTAGATAGATCAGTGCTTCTATGCTCACTTTGTATGTCTGTTTTTTTGTATCCCCCTGAGTACACTGAGTCTGGTTCTGCTCGAGGCTTATTCCTGTTAAAAAGGATTTTTCCTCTCCACTGTCATTGCATGCATGCTCAGTGTGAAATTATGCTGCAGAGTCAATGAGTAGATGCAATCAGCTGGTTTTCCTTAGATAGAAAACTTTAAACTAGTCTGACTGTGTGATCTAGTTGAATTGTTTCTGTAAAGTGCTTAGAGATTACATGTGTCGTGAAATTACGCTATATAAACTGAATGAAATTGTAATTTGTGTAGTCATAATAAGCAAAAACGTAAAAGCTAATGTCAAACAGTTGTTAAAACTTTTTCCCACACCTCCAGAGATGATCTCAGCCCCATTAAAGGACTAAGAATGATCCAACACAGACATTAATGGAACGGATAATATTGAAACAATAAACCATCAACGACTTTGAGAATTCATGCGTGTTGCTTCCGTATTAGACCACTACCTTGTGCTTGTGCCATCTGCCAGTGTCCAATGTTGACTAACTGGTTTTTGGCCACTGCCAGAGGGAAGGAGGCCAGGTCACCCGCACAGAACACATCAGGGACGTTTGTTTGCATGTACTGTAAAAGGGGAAACAAGATTATTGTGAATGGGCCAATTGGATTGTCGATAACCAAATAATTGAAAGTAGTAAACCATAAATCATAGAAAGATTGGTGCTGAGTTAGCAATAAATAAAGACACATGGTGCTTTAATGTGGTTTATAAAAAGCCTACCTTATTAACTATAACAAACTTTTTGGAGTTCATCTGTATATTAGTGTCTTGCAGGTACTCTGAGTTCGGGATGCTGCCTGGTAAAAAAAAAAAAGGTAAACAAGAGGAAAACTTCAATGAAATAGTCAGTTTGATCTGTTATACAGTATTTAGCAATATACTTAATCCAGATCTCATTTTGTTACTATTCACTAAACTATATGAACTATTTGGCTGCTGACCTGCCTGCTTATCCTGCAGCTCTTCTTCAAATAAAAAAGTAAAAGGATGAGTGAAGGAAGTGTTGAGGTCTATGTACCGTCTTTATTAAGTCATAAGACTCTGAAATTTCATGTTTTGGAAACGGGAACTGTTCCTTTAAGGCCTTCGATACTGCACCGGCATCAGGACCTGCTGTTTATTAATTATTACTCAGAAAATGTACTTCATATATGTTTATTTCTTTGCCATCTTTGGCACAAAAAATATATATATATTTTTTAAGAACAGGCTTAAAATGGCAAAATCTGATTTAAAATCAGTCCTGAAGCTGTCTGTTGCTTAGAGATCTAATGTTGACATTTTGGCCTTGTTAAGTCAAAAGGTAAATGAATTACTACACAAAAACATATCTTCAGTTAAAATGAAATCAATACTAAACTCATATAAAAAAATTAGAACATATTTTTACATCACCACTTTTAAAATGTTTGAATTCATTTAAACAAGAGGCATAACACTTAAACGAGATGATCCAAAATACTCCCAAAATATGTAGTTCAAAGCAGCTTTTTATTTTAAATCATGCATCAGTGTTGCTTCTTCTCATTTTTGCCATGACAACAGCTAACTAAGATTAGCTCCACGTGTTTCTGACAATTTTTTTTTAGCTGTGAATGCAGATTTGAGGGATAATTTGTACATACATGCCTTGTCTTCCATGTTAAAAAATAATTTAATAACCTTATTAAGAATGCTGTAAAAAAAAAAAAACTCACCTCAACATACCAGAAAGATTTGACCAGACATCAGAAGAGACGTGTTTTGTTTTTATTGCTCTGATGTTAGACATTAAAACATACTAAACATAATTAGATAAAGTTTTTTTGTTTAAATTTATGGTTCCCTTATAAAAAACTGATGCATTTATTGTTAAGAGTAAAGAAATAATAACATCTTAATTTTACTCACCAATACCAACAATCAAGACATCAGCTGGGATAACATTACCACTTTTGAGCACGATCTCTTTCACCTTTAATAGAAAAAGCATCAAAAGAAAGACATGTGTTTTTGTGTGATCTTATTAAAAAGTAAAAAAAAAACTAAATATGCTTTCTTTTAGTTCATTTTTGTGATAATAATGAGACCCTTTTCCTTTTCTGATTTACCTTCCCATTGCGGCCTTTGATCTCTGTCACATGATCATTCATGAAGAATCTTACGCCTTTCTCCGACAACATCTGCAGAAAACGAAATTTCAGTACAAGCCACTAAAAAAAAAGAGCAGGGGATATGAGACTGAACTCCCTCACCATCATGGTGATTTTCCCGACTTCAAGGCCCAGAGTGTTTTGGTAAGGCATCTCACTGCTCCCCACCACCGTGATAGTAGAGGCCTTGTCTATCATGTAAGATGCAACCTCCATGCCTGAAATAGGCAGTGAAGGTGATGTAGAAAATGACAAGACAGCTGATAATATCAATAAGATATATATGATCTGCAAACTATGTTGACAAATAAAAAGCCCTAAAATTGACAGAACTTATTTAAAAACTTTGAAAAATAAATACAGGATTTTTTTTCATAGGTAAATCTAAAAAAAATTGGGTACTGCTCAGTGGGGTAGGGGGTAGTTGTGCTGCCTTGCAGCAGGAAGGTTCTGGGTTCTATTCCTGGCCTGATGTCTTTCTGCATGTAGTTTGTAGGTTATCCCTGTGCATGTGTGAGTTCTCTCCAGGTACTCCGGCTTCCTCCCACAGCCCAAAAACATATTAGGTTAATTGGCTTTTCTAAATTCTCCTTAGGTGTGAGTGTGTGCATGAACAGTTGTTTATATTTGTGTTGCTCTGCGATGGACTAGCGACCTGTCCAGGTTGTGCCCCACTTCTCGGCCTTAGACAGCTGGAGATAGGCAGCAATATCCCTCATGACCCCAACTGGGATTAAGCGTGACAGAAAATAGTAAATCTGAAAACTACATAAAGAATAATAATTGTGCTTTTAAAATGGTTAATTTTCTTAGCAATGGGTTTGTTTTTGAACAGGACTGGTACACTGTTTAAAATAAAAAGCCTCTTATATTACATTTATATCATCATAAAAAACCTCACCAAACAGTTGGCTTAAGAAAACAAGAGAACATGTCCGTGTGTAGACAACTGAGGCAAACGTACAAGATATAAAAACACTATCCTTAAGTGACAACGTTTTTAATTTACAATACCTGATTAGGTTGGAGAGATCTTTGTCTAGCATGAATACTAATACATTAAATTACTAAGCAGCATTTTTGGAAATTGTGTACAATAATTCCAAAAGCTTTATATTATGAAAATTGAAATTTCTGCACTTTTTTTTCAAATTACACAGATATACCTTAAAGGAATAGTACACCCAAAACATGATTAGCCTTCATTTTCTACTCACCCCCATGCTGAACAACACTCTGGAGTACTTTTTTGATATCTCAAATGCATCTGGAGATCTGGGAGGCTTCTTGCTGTCTGCTGACATTCAAATAATGGAGGTCTATGGTGCCCGAGACAGAAAGGTCCATAAAAGTCCACAAAAAACGTGTCAATATTCCTCCATACTGCTCGTCCAATGTATTCCAAGTGTCCTGAGTGGGTAGCATCCAGAATTTACTCGAAACGAAGTCATTTAGAATGTTTTTAGAGTATAAACAGTAGTGTATAGGATTTCCTGAAAGCGCGCGCCGGTGCGTTCATGACGCTACGGAAGCCGGCAGACCAAACCAGATGAAAGTGCGCATTCAGCGTCTGCTCTGCCGATAATGCAAGCATAGAAGAAGAAATGTGCTGTTTACCTGTGCAACGAAAGAAACAACGAAAGAAAAATGTCTGAGGACTTCAGTGTTGAGGAAGAGCATGAGTTCTTTGCCGAGCTGAATGCGCACTTTCATCTGGTTTGGTCTGCCGCGGTTTCCGTAGCGTCATGAACGCGCCGGCGCGCGCTTTCAGGAAATCCTATACACTACTGTTTATGCCCTAAAAACATTCTAAATGACTTCGTTTCGAGTAAATTCTGGATGCTACCCACTCAGGACACTTGGAATACATTGGACGAGCAGTATGGAGGAATATTGACACGTTTTTTGTGGACTTTTATGGACCTTTCTGTCTCGGGCACAATAGACCTCCATTATTTGAATGTCAGCAGACAGCAAGAAGCCTCCCAGATCTCCAGATGCATTTGAGATATCAAAAAAGTACTCCAGAGTGTTGTTCAGCATGGGGGTGAGTAGAAAATGAAGGCTAATCATGTTTTGGGTGTACTATTCCTTTAACAAAAGGGCTTCATAATGAAGTTTAAAGCAATTTTGTGTTTTTACGTTTTAAAAGGAATAGTTTCACAGTTCAGCCACAGTACCGACAAAGGAAGTTCCCACAAGGACAATGTTGCAGCCCAAGCAGGCAGCGTGGATTTGTCGAGCGTCCTCTGGTGTCTCCAGCATCTTAATGTTGTCCAGATTAATTCCCGGCACATCCAGACCTTTTGCTCTGAACAATGAAGAGTAGTGTGGTTAATATGCAGGGTAGGGTTTGGAGGCTATAACGGTCTCAGCTGTTCAAAATGTACAGTTTCATCAGCTACTGTTGGACTTTAAAGAGGTATTTTTGCTTGATTGCTTTGTCTCAGTGGACAGATTACCATTTAATAATTTCATTTTACCTCATGTGTTGGTCTATTACACAAAATTAGGGACAAATGTAACATAAGTAGGGCAAATAAGTTGAAAAATGATTGGCTAACCATAAAAAATAATTCTATATAATACAGTTTAGTAAAAAGTTTGTTTTGTTTCCTTTAGATGAGATGAATCTGTGTCTGTACCTGCAGCCAGTTGAGAGAAGCAGCTGGTCGTAGCTCTGCACTAAACCATCATCGAATGTGACTGTCTTCTTCTCTGTGTCCACTGACACTGCCTTTGAATAACACAAACCAGCTTTAACATGTCATGTGACCTTTAGTTTAAATCATAGCTATATATCAGATTTTGTGCATCATAAAACAAACACTTAAAATTAGAACAAACCTTTATTTTAGCTACTAATCTATAGGGATTAGTTCACATCAGATAAAACACAGCAGCAAGATAAAGGAGATACTCACTGCTTTTCGGAGCCACACCTCGATGCCGTACTGATGGAAAAACTCCATCCTTCTCAGCACAATAGTATCACTCAACACATTCATCACCTGTAGCATATGCAATGAGCACATTTTACTGTCTATTCTATTGCATATTCATCGTCTCTTAAGGTTTTTTTTCATAAAGTGTACTTAATTCAGGTATTTGGTGTGATCTTCAATGACCTTGCTGAGTCTGGTTTTGTCATAAGGTAAAAGGTCATCTCTAGAGACCATGATGATTCTGCCGCCAAAGTTCTCCTGCCGCAGAGTCTCTGCACAGATCAGCGATGCAGCTCCTGAGATCCAACATCCACAGTTAGATGACACCTTGTTAACATGCAACTTTAAATTATTCAATAAGAATACCAAATCTAGCTTGAGTGTAAATCGAGATTTTATTGATTAAATGTTATTCCATTTTACTGGCTCTATAGCATTCATTAATTTCATTGGTTAGTTATTGAATCCAAATGTTTCTTTGAAAATAAAATGTATTTCTTCTAAAAAGAAATAGCCAGGTTTACATGTCAGAGACTGGAAGTCAGAAGAATGGACTGTTATGGTTTTAAATTTGAGCCAAACAAATGCAATGACTACTGATTTATATTGAAATTATTTCTTTGATGAGTTTTTTTCTGTGTAAGTCTAAGTCTGCAGCATTGTTTTAAATAGCTTTGTTCTTGCACTTTATAAAAAAAAACAAAAACAAAAAAACAGCAGCAAGCAGATATAAAGGGACAAAAGCAATGCCCACTGACCTCCTCCAAGCAGAAGAATTGTGTGATTCACTCCCGGTACTGCAGTTCCCATACGCTGCAATCGTTTCTGAAGCCTGAGTTCCTTAAAAAATACAATAAATAAACATTAATTTTCTTTCATTTCTCCTCTTGGGGTGTTTATGATTTCTATTTTTCTGAGGGTATTTTAGATTCTTTTGAATGCAGTCCTCTATGCATCCTTATTTTCTCAGTTTTTTATTTTGCATCCTGTTGTTTCAACAAATATTATAATTTCTTTTGTTAGAGCACAGGATATGTCTTTGTAAACTGTAGCCTGTCTTGTTGTGTTACTTCTGGAGGAGCAGCCTCTTCTTTGCTGAGCGGCCTTTCTGCGAATGTCAATAATGGGCTTGCTTTGATAATGACTTTATCTTACAAACTCCAGCCATCATCTTCACAAGTTATTTTAATTTTGTTCTGATGAACATTTTTTTGTAACCAAACACATTCATTGCCACCCTAGGATGACTGAAAATTAGTTTCATTACCTAAATGCCTTTTGAAAAGATAGTTTTACAGTCAAATCTTTTCAGTTGATTGCTTTTACATTTTGTCAAAAAAAGAAGCATATTTTTGCTGAGCATAGCTGTTTTTCTAAAGGAAATAATTTCAACATAATTTAGTTGTGTAGAGCTATAAATTTGATATGTAATATAATCTGTGAAGGAAAAAAACATACTTCTATAATCAGTGTTAAGAAAGTAGATCTTAGGCCAGCTTTTGAGTCAAAATGAATATTTTTCATTTTAAAGGATAACACTGACTCCCTCATCAACGTGAACAATAAAAAAAACAGTGATCCTCTGATATGGGTAGAGTTAACTCACTAACCTTTTTGTTTATGGACACATACACTTTGCTGTTTTGAATTCTGACCTAAAAAGAAGTAAAGGGTCAAATTAGAAACCCAGCAAATGTTGAGCTAAATGTGGATCCATCCCTCTGGTTTATACCTTGTGACAAGGTAATGAGTCTATGCCAGGAAACTCCTCCAGGTCTCCTGTGACGGCATTAAAACAAGAGCCGTGCCAAGGACAGCGCACTTTGTTTCCTGAAAGAACCCCTGATCAGAAAACAAAACATGACTGCTTCAAAACACACTAAAATGCACATTCAGTATAGGTTAAACACATAAAAAGACATGGATCTGGGTGAATAAATGTGTCGTCTTTGTTTATTTTTTTTACCTTTGCTGAGTGGGGCACCGTAGTGTGTACACTGATTTCCAATGGCACTATATTTGCCATTACAGCGTGTTAACAGCACACTGTGGACTCCGATGTCAACTTCCATCATCCTCACATCACACATGAACAAAATACAAATGTTAGTTTCATGTAGCCTCTATAGACCCCATGTTTTACTTTTAAATTGGCCCACTATGGTAAATTAAACTCACACAAAAATATTTTACAATATAAAACACCATTTCTAACACACTTTACACTTCAATAATACCTAACAGGTTTTATCCGCACAAACATGAAGCACAGATAGATTAAATATCAGATATAAACAACACTGAACTTGTTTCCAGAGAGCTGTCTCCCACATTATCCAGAACTGAATTTATTTTATGTTATTTAGTTCTCCTCTGCTTATTAAATAACTTATATCGCACCATTTATAAAGCTTACTGCAGCTTATTTACCCTTTTACCCAGATCTAATTTAACATCCAGGACAGGGCTTGGTTTTGAGTTTTAATGGCTTTTAACATATGGGATCATTGTCTGAAACTTGACAGTTAAAAAGCATAAAAACTGAGCAACCCACTTGAATTATTTCTGATTCTAGACACCTTTCCCTCAATCTTCTTACAGTCAGATGTTTTATTTAAAATAGATAAAATTGGCTTTTCTTAGTCAGAAATGTATTTAACATTCTAGACATTTTCATGTATGAACTTCTGGTCTCGTATCACTTGTAGAAAAAAAGTTTTATTTTTTCATAGATAATTAATTTTGAGGAATTATTTAATGTCATACAGCTATATAATACATTTTTTTTTTTTTTTTTTTTTTACATTTTTACAATAAACCCATTTTGTAAAAAATGACTTTGGCTAGAATAATTCAGCAACATAGACATACAGTCTATCTAAGGGCATGCTAACAAGTGTCAGCTGGATGTGTTGGCATCTTCAGATGTTTCAGGTAGAGTTGTTAGCATCATATCACATCCATAATAAATGTTCTATTTAGAGGCTAATATGACAGATCCCAATGGGATTGGTTGGTCCAGGTACTGCAGAAGCAGTTGACAGATGGTTTGCCAGACAGACTGGATGTTATGTGACTTCAGTCAGCTACCATGATGACCCCTTAACTGAGGATATTGTCAGTTGGTGGGAGAAGCACTTAGGGATCCCCCTCATCCAATTTCTATGTCATACGTAGAGTCTGAGGAGTCTAGGGATGTTTATCACTTACCAAGCCAGTAAGAAAATTTGTCAAAAACCTTGCCTAGAAAGCCCAAAGTCTAACGTTAGGGCTGGTTGGCATTAATGTTATATGTTGCATGAAGGAATGCAGCAACAACTACCAGCTTAATATAGAAGGTTGGAATCGAGAAACTGTCCACCTATCTGACAGTAACTCTGAAGGTCATACGGTCATAGAGGCCTAACCTCTCCATACCACTGGAGCAGTTCACTGCCAAGTGTGAATCAGTTGAGTTCAGCCCCTCTAGTTCTGAGGACATGGTTCTCAACTAAAAAAAGATTAAATGGACCCTGCTGGTTAGAGGGACAGTCGTTTGCCTAAAGGTTTTTGTATTTCTGTTTTTTTACTGGTGACCAGTGGTGTGATGTAATGTGACCTTCCTCTCATCTACCATAATGAGGATAAAGCCTAGCCAGTAGGCACAGCTCTTAGTTTTTGATACATTTGCATTTTGACTGTCACCTGTTTTGGGAGCTATTTTTGGTTTAGGTTGGGATGTCCTTCAATCTATCGAGGGTTTTATCTTGCCTCTCACCCTGTGACTAATGGTTATAGCCATGTAGACAACAGATGGATTAACTTGTCAGTTTGCCTACACATTTCAGCATGCTTACATACACTATATTGCCAAAAGTATTTGCTCACCTGCCTTGACTCACATATGAGCTTAAGTGACATCCCGTTCCTAATCCATAGGGTTCAATATGACGTCGGTCCACCCTTTGCAGCTAGAACAGCTTCAACTCTTCTGGGAAGGCTGTCCACAAGGTTTCGGAGTGTGTTTATGGGAATTTTTGACCATTCTTCCAGAAGCGCATTTGTGAGGTCGCACACTGATGTTGGACGAGAAGGCCTGGCTCTCAGTCTCCGCTCTAATTCATCCCAAAGGTGTTCTATCGGGTTGAGGTCAGGACTCTGTGCAGGCCAGTCAAGTTCATCCACTCCAGACTCTGTCATCCATGTCTTTATGGACCTTGCTTTGTGCACTGGTGCACAGTCATGTTGGAAGAGGAAGGGGCCAGCTCCAAACTGTTCCCACAAAGTTGGGAGCATGGAATTGTCCAAAATGTCTTGGTATGCTGAAGCATTCAGAGTTCCTTTCACTGGAACTAAGGGGCCAAGCCCAGCTCCTGAAAAACAACCTCACACCATAATCCCCCCTCCACCAAACTTTACACTTGGCACAATGCAGTCAGACAAGTACCGTTCTCCTGGCAACCGCCAAACCCAGACCCGTCCATCAGATTGCCAGATGGAGAAGCGCGATTCGTCACTCCAGAGAACGCGTCTCCACTGCTCTAGAGTCCAGTGGCGGCGTGCTTTACACCACCGCATCCGACGCTTTGCATTGCACTTGGTGATGTATGGCTTGGATGCAGCTGCTCGACCATGGAAACCCATTCCATGAAGCTCTCTGCGCACTGTTCTTGAGCTAATCTGAAGGCCACATGAAGTTTGGAGGTCTGTAGTGATTGACTCTGCAGAAAGTTGGCGACCTCTTCGCACTATGCGCGTCAGCATCCGCTGACCCCGCTCCGTCAGTTTACGTGGCCTACCACTTCGTGGCTGAGTTGCTGTCGTTCCCAAACACTTCCATTTTCTTATAATACAGCTGACAGTTGACTGTGGAATATTTAGGAGCGAGGAAATTTCACGACTGGATTTGTTGCACAGGTGGCATCCTATCACAGTTCCACGCTGGAATTCACTGAGCTCCTGAGAGCGACCCATTCTTTCACAAATGTTTGTAAAAACAGTCTGCATGCCTAGGTGCTTGAATTTATACACCTGTGGCCATGGAAGTGATTGGAACACCTGATTCCAATAATTTGGATGGGTGAGCAAATACTTTTGGCAATATAGTGTATTTTGTCAAAACTTGTTAGCATGTCTACATTTAGCCTCAATCCCAACAACACAAAGCTACGATTGGCTGAAATGTTCAAAATATATACAGTCTAATGAACAGCATGCTCGATTGCTTTTTATTTCTATTTTTTACTTAATTTATTCTTCCTGTTCTTTTTTGTGGTTATAAAGGGACATTTTGGCACATGTTGGTAGGCAGACACAATGGTTACAAAATACTTTTGAATTCTAAAATCATCACAATTCCTCTTACTGTCCATCTCGAAGGTCTGTCTCCAGACACACCACTGCTGTCAGTTCTTCTTTGTCTTCGGGATCAGAGTCTGTAAGCTCACCACGTGCTGAACAAATTATTGTCAAAGCGCAAAATAACTCTTTTACATCTTAAAGAAAATGAGCTTTGCAGAAAGGACAGAAGGGTTGCGGCTGTTGAAAAATTGTGACGCAGAAATAAACAACTTACGTGCTTTGGTCCCAGACATTTCACTTTCAACTGTAATGGCACATATAAACTAATACAGTCCAACGCTCCTGTGGAAGCAGTTAAATATGTTGTCCAGCGTCAGTTTGCCTTCATCTGAGCAGATAAATGAAGGCAGGTCTTTTCCACACCGACTGGTCCTTCCTTAACCTGCATTATCTAGGCCTGTAGCTTTGCAAAGTGCACTATTTTGATCTGATAAGAACACATAAATGTCGTGAAAAGTCACCCTTTTTGTACCTCTGGTGAATGAAGAGTTTCATTAGCTCTGCCGGTCATGTTCAGTCTCATCATCCCATAGAAAGGCAGTGTGGTCTTTTGTTCCCCAAAGCCAGGGGATGGTGAAAGGCTGACGATGCTGAACTGCTGAATTGACAGGCAACAAAGCACCACACAAAACCAGAGGTGGCCGCTGTCATTTAGACACTTAGCAAAGTTTAAATACTAAAAATACTAATAGTGTTCTGTTGTGGAGGAAAAAGTTAAGCCTAACAGACTCAAAAAAGGATAAATTACAGACTCAGATTCCTGGAGGATATGATTTTTTTTGTTTATTGGGAACTGTAAAATCTTATTCTTAATTTTTATAATTCCCTTATTTAAATCTACATATTTTGCCTTATCAAAATATTTCCTATAACATCTAACATGAGCATAAACCTGCAGTCTGTGTTTCTATCCTCTGCTTGTTACTGCAAGTGAATCATCAAAATAAAAACAGCATCTGTGACATTTTTTGTTGTTGTTTTATTTCAAACATAGACAGCATACATCTTTAAATACCTGAAAGTGCTATCAAGGTGCATCATTGTCAAACATTGAATCAATTTAAACTCATTTTTGAATTAATGGAAAAAGTGAGATAACTTGCATCTGACATCCGCAGATATCTGATGTGCAACATGAGCTCCTACATCATGATCCTCTTCTCCTGGAATAGTGTGACCAACGAGGGACCTTTGCAGCTCTTGTTGGTTTGTATTTCTTCCAGAACACGTGGCAAGCGTATTTTCCCTGTCTTGGACTCAATCTCATTGTAGGGACACACCTTGAGATGTTCAGAGATGGACGGGACATCTGTGAAACTCCAGGAGTCCACAGGAGAAAACAGGGAGCTGAACTGCCACACCTGAAGACCAGCAGAGTACCACTAATAAGAGTCTGATTCTAAGATTCAATACTTTAATACTATCTAACTTAGTTTATTATCTTCTTTAAATCAACATTCATCCCTTACCTTTCGTGTGGCCCTCCACCTGGCTGGCCCATGTGAGGAGCTGGTCTTCTCCCAGCAGAGGGTGACCATCCCTCTTTCCTGAAGCAAGGAGGAACAAACCTGCCTCATGAGCCTCGACACCAGGGCCAGCTGCGACAGGGACAGACTGTCCAGAAAACTGGCCACATGACACAAGACCTCATAGGGCAGCGAGCTCAGAGAATCCTCCCTTCCTCCGCTTTGACCTCCTGCACTCTGGAAGGACGGGGCGTTGGGATGTAGGCTAAAGCAGCCTAGCTCCTTACTGATGTAAACAACAGATGATTTACTTTATTAATATCTGTATTTTTCTATGAAAGAGAATTGAATAATAATTATAAACAATATATTTGTATTATTTTTATCTTTTATATTGTTTTTAAAAGCTCCTGACATTTAGGTTCACTTCCTGCCATGTTCACATTCCTGAGTTATTATTATTTTTTTTATTTTGTGGGTATTTTTACCAAATTAGATTGTCATAATTGTGATTGTCTTTAATGGTGCTGTTAGGCACAAACAAGGAATCTGAACTCAGCTTTCCATAAAACTCACTGTAATCAAAACCAGTTCAATAAACAGCCAAGGTACAAAGAACGCCTAAATCAGATAAAATGGACAATACTTTCATATCAATAAATAAATGAGAAAATGCTGGTTATAATAGTGGCATAGGGACCCCTATTTTATCATTCTGCTTCATTCTGTCTCTATTCTCCCACTCTGCAGAATCTGTTAGTTCAATCTCTAACCTTCTCTGCTTTTTCTCATTGTAGCTGCCTAATCTGTTCCTGTTCGGCTGTGACTCCAGCTGTGCTGCTGCCATCAACACCTTTGTTTATACAGTAGATGTTGGAGATCGGCCTGTTTTTCAGTGTAGTCTTGTTTCTCTGACTGTGACTGGCTGGATGTGCTCTCTTCATCCTCTGACATGGGAGTTGGCTTGGAGCTCGTCTGCCTGGCTGTGTGTTTCCTGCACAGGGCCGCCTTTTATAGCTGCTTTTTGTATCTCTGCTTCTGTCTTCTTGAACCCCAGTCGCCCTCAGCAGATGGCGAGGGGTTTTTCCTCTCCACTGTCACTACAAGCATGCTTAATGTGAGGGATTGCATTCGAGTCGATGCAATCAACTGGTTTTCCTTAGATAGAAAACTTTGAATCAATTTGACTGTATGTTCTGGTGAACTATAAAGCGCCTTGAGATGACGTGTTGTGAATTGGTGCTATATAAATAAACTGAATTAAAAATAATCTAATTGAATAGTGCAAAAGGCCTTCAATGTTTATAGGAGATTGTCTAACTGATATGGAACATGGGCTTCTAATATCCAATAATAATAACTAAGCTAAAGTTTTGTTGCTCTCTCACTTGAAATTGACGGTGGCTTCATAGGCGGAGGGCTGAAACCTCCTCTGGCTGTAGGTACATCCCAGGTACGCCAGCGGACACCTCTGTTCAAACCAGCCATTCACGCCCATCTGGATGTCACTGTGGATGTTCCTGCGTTTGTCACCACGTTCATTTCCAATATATATAGAAAAAAAGCCACAAATACACATTAGAGTGCATGCTGACGAAAGTCAAAAACAAATAATGGAAAAGCTGATTATTTTAGCATTGTGTGTTTCTCTTAGTGGATTTTTTAATGGTGTATAGAGGAGGAGGAAATGTCTAATGTCCAAATAACAATGAAAATGTCTCACTTAAAATGTTTGCCATATTCTGAGCGCTGGAAGGTGTGTCCACAGAGGAAGGTGAAGGCGGAGCTGGCCTTGTTATGCCGGCTGGTGACGCTCTCTACCTGCAGCTGAAGGTGCAGCTCCAGAGGTTTTCCAGCTGTCAGGTCAGCCAGAGACGTGTTCCTGCGGAAAGGAGCGGAGAGGAAGCGGTAGGTCTGCGTGCCTTGATCCGTCAGCAGGCTGTCAGAGGTTATGCTCTCAGCGATCAGGTTGCCCCTCCGCTCCCTCTCCAAGGAGCACAGCAAAGAGGCCTGGGAAAGAAATCAGACAAAACAATAACAGGAATAAAGTTGTCAGCAAGACCATACTTGTCTCTCAGATGAATTTGAAAAAATTCTTTCAAAAAATATTGTTTTACATTTTATGATTTAAAGAAAAAGCAAAACAGCAACTAGAAAAAAAGTATAATTGGTTCAGATTATTAACAACAGTTATACAGTTAACAGTTAAGTTATATCAAAATTAGATATAAGAAAAAAAAGTTTTGATAAATTTGCAATTCAAAAAAGCTCTATAAAATTTAAAGCACAGCAAATAGTGGGCAGTTTTCCATATTATTCCGTCTTATTCTTCACATAAATATATATTTGAAGAAATACATTAATACATTTTCTACAGAACCCCCAGTCGACATCTTTAAATTCATTGCATATTGAAATTTTAAAAATATAAATTTCATTATTTGGGGAATTGGGTGTTTAGCTTACATCTCTCAACTGCTATTTCCTTTAAAATAAATTTAATTTCTTAATTAAACCTTGATTATTTAGTCTTTTAGAATATTTAGACTCCTGATTTATTTATTTTTGTTACAGAATTTTCATGTTGTCTAATTATTTTATTATTTGTTTGTACCTTTTTTACTGCTGTGGTTTCAATACATTAAAAGATTTAATAAAAACAAGATTTTAACTTAGATGGAACTTTTCCAAACTTAGATAGTGCTTGACCAAACATAAACCTATTTTATTCCAAACATATTGGTATCCGAAATGATTCAGAAATGAATGATTCTTCATTACATTTCAGATGAAATTGTTGGTGCAATCCCCCAAATCATTTTGTAATGAATGTTAGTAACACATTCTCCTAATCCAATCTTTAAAAAGTATTTATCAAGAATTTTTTTGATAAAAAAAAAGTAATTAAAGTTTGTTTCCAAGAGTCAATGCACGTACTGAGAGGAAAACAGCTCTTTAGGAGACAAGACAATAATTTCCCTTTCATCTCCTCTTTCTTTCATATTTTCATTTCCTTTCCTGTTCTGCCTACATTACAGTGTCCATAAAATCTCCAATACTCCCTGCATGAATTATAATAAAGCTATTTATATGCATAAATCATGTGGAACACTATGGCGATAGCCGTACTGCTCCACTTGTGAAAGCTAAATCTGTTGGGCTCTTTTTGGCATCAAGGCAATTATTCTTATTGCTGCAAAACAATCATCCAAACACACACAGCACCCAGAGCGGTTTACACTAGTTAATGAATATTACAAGTATAAAACGTGAGTATCCGAGTAAAGCCCTCCAACTTGTGTTCACCATAGAGAAAAATATCAGGCTGGGATTAGAACTAGGGATAATTTTAGGAAAAAGCATCAGAGCAGCGCCACCATTCAACCCTAGTAAGATATTTTTATTTATATGGTTAACTTAAAACTTAGTAAATTGGTTCCTTTGAATACTTTTAAGCTGAGAATGATATGTTTTGAGTTGGACTCCCTCACATGTTAATGTTTTAATTGAAATTTTATTGTAAGTGCATATTTGGCTTTTATGTGTGTGTCTTTGTACGTATATAATGATGTGATGTAATTTTGATGCCTATCTTGGCCAGGTCTCCCTTGCAAAAGAGATTTTTAATCTCAATGGGTATTACCTGGTTAAATAAAGAATAAATAAAGAAATAAAATAAATAATTTTCTCATTGTGCAGACTAAAAGATACTGTAAACATATGGTGCCAGAAGGGTTAACACATTCAAAAGCCCGTTCCTATTCAAGGGACCCACCTGAACCTCCTCCCACACTGGCATGTCTCCTGGTGCCACCCCCAGGTCGCTGGTGTCCACACCTTTGTTCTCTCTCTTGTAGAAGCCAGGGTTGCGGATACGGCCCTGCCTGGCTGTGAAGCTAGTTGGGACTTTAAATGTACGAACAGTGATGATTTTCATTGGTTCTAACTTTCCATACACAAAGTTCTTCTTTCTAGGTCTTCCATTGAGACAGGAGGAGGAAGCAGAGCATGCGCTGCTGCTGGACGCTGCTGCACCTGCATAGCTTTCTGTTTCATCCTCCTCATTCAGGGTACCCATGTT